GGGGGTTCCTCCCAACCACGCCCCTCCAGGTCTCACTATCATAAGCTTCTCTGTGGCAAGGCACCGGGGGTGGATGAGATTCGCCTGGAGTTCCTTAAGGCTCTGGATGTTGTGGGGTTGCGTTGGTTGACGCAACTCTACAATATTGCATGGACAGCAGGGGCAGTTCCCCTGGATTGGCAGACCAGGGTGGTGGACCCCCTATTTAAAAAGGGGGGACCGCAGAGTGTTTTACAACTATAGGGGGATCACACTTCTGAGCCTCCCTGGCAAGGTCTATTCAGGGGTCCTGGAGAGGAGGGTCCATCAGATAGTCGAATCTCGGATTCAGGAAGAGCAGTGTGGTTTTCATCCTGGTAATGGAACAGCGGACCAGCTCTACACCCTCAGCAGGGTCCTGGAGTGCATGGGAGTTCACCCAACCAGTGTATGTGTTTTGAGGACTTGGAGAAGGCATTCGATCATGTCCCTCTGGGACTCCTGTGGGGGGTACTCTGGGATTATGGGGTACCAGTCCCATTGATACAGGCTGTTAGGTCCCTGTACGACCGGTGCCAGAGCTTGGTCCGCATTGCCAGTAGTAAGTCGGACTCATTTCAGGTGAGAGTTGGACTCTGCCAAGTTTGCCCTTTGTCACAGATTCTGTTCATAACTTTTATGGACAGAATTTCTAGGAGCAGCCAAGGTTTTGAGGGTATCCGTTTTGGTGACCTCAGGATCACCTCTACTTTTTGCGGATGAGGTGGTCCTAATGGCTTCATCAGATTGTGATCTCCAGCTCTCACTGGAGCGGTTCGCAGCAGAGTGTGAAGCGGCCGGGATGAGGATCAGTGCCTCCAAATCAAAGACCATGGTCTTGAGCTGGCAATGGTAGGGTACCTTCTCTGGGTCAGGGAGGAGGTCCTCCCCCAAGTGGCGGAGTTTAAGTATCTCGGGGTCTTGTTCACAAATGAGGGAAGAATGTAGCGGGAGATCGACAGGTGGATTGATGCTGTGTCTGCAGTGATGCGGGCGCTATACCAGTCTGTCGTGGGGAAGCGAGAGCTGAGCCAGAAGGAGAAGGTCTCGGTTTACCGGTCAGTCTACATTCCTACCCTCATCTTTGGTCATGAGCTTTGGGTAGTGACTGAAAGAACGAGATCACGGATACAAGCGGCCAAAAAGAGTTTCCTTTGCAGGGTGTCTGGGCTCTCTCTTAAAGATAGGGTGAGAAGCTCGGTCATCTGGGAGGGACTCAGAGTAGAGCCGCTGCTCCTCCACGTTGAGAGGAGCCAGTTGAGGTGGCTRGGGCATCTGGTTAAGATGTCTCCTGGATGTTTCCCTGGTGAGGTGTTCTGGGTACGTCCCACTGGGAGGAGACCCAGAGGAAGACCCAGGACACGCTGGAGGGACTATGTTTCTCGAATGGCCAGGGAACGCCTTGGGATTCCCCAAGACGAGCTGGCCCAAGTGGCTGGGGAGAGGGAAGTCTGAGTCTCTCTGCTTAGGCTGCTGCCCCCGCGACCTGCTAAGTGGGAGAAAACGGACAGACGGATGTGTCCCACTTTTTTTTAATCAGACAGCATTAAGAATAAAGGTATTTTTCAGAACACAAATATAAGTTGTAATAATGCACAAAAACACCATACATAGAACAGTTTTTAGCTACAGACACACAAAATAAGAGCCCACCAGTTTAAGTGGGCTTACAAATTTGGATAAAAATGCTACTAAACATGAACTTAATGACCACAAAAAGTCTTTAAAAAACAATATAATTTACTGCATTGGACTTTTAAAACAATTATGATGGAAATTTACTCTGTGATATCATTTATACGGTTAATTCCTAATCCCACTGATACAGATAAAACATGTGTACCAAATATTTATCAACAGAAACCAATGAGCGAAAAAAGTAAATTGTTCCTAAATCTAAACTGTTTTGGACTTTTTAAAATGTCTGGGCCTGTCTGTAACAACTGCTAACTTTCTTTAAAATGTACTGTAAATTTCACAATATTTAAATACAGAAAACAATGACAAATAAAGACAAATAATTTTGAAAGATGTCGCCCTTTCTGCTTACGTCACTTTTCTGCGACGCACATGTCGGGACGAAATTGCAAGCTGCCATATTTGGAGGAATATTTTTCCTTCAAGTTAAGCGAGTTAAATCAGTTTGTGAGTGTAACCGTGAGTCATTTTGCAGTTGTTTTTCAAACGCTTAGGTCCGGGACATATTTAAGAAGAATACTCTGGACTTTTGGGTTTATTTTACATCGGGTTAAAGTTCGGAGGAGCTCGGTGCTGCGCTGCTCTGCAGAGATGGCTGCTTAGCTCGGCTAGCTAACGTTAGCTGGTCCTGTAAACAAACACAGCAGTCAGCAAGGAAACAGTTACTCCATTTTTCAAGGAGTGTTCAACAGACCGGGTCAACACTTCATTAAGTTAAGAACTATATAACGTTATAAACATAGCTTTGTTTAGCAGCAGAAAGCCGTCTCGATGCTGCATGTCTACCAGTTCAGCGACACGACTTGAGTTTTGATGACTGTGCGAGTTTCTTTAAAATAGCTCGGAGCTTAGTTGCTTTGGAGCAGGTCGGAGTCCGCTGTAGTCGAAGCAGACACCCTAGAACCGGTCGGCATGTCGTCTTTCTCCGAGTCTGCCCTGGAGAAGAAGCTGTCGGAGCTGAGCAGCTCGCAGCAGAGCGTCCAGACCCTGTCTCTGTGGATCATCCACCACCGCAAACACTCGGCCCTCATCGTCAAGGTCTGGCACCGAGAGCTCAAGAAAGGTGAGATTTAGCACACACTTACACACTGTTGTACCTTCTGTGTAATTAAATAGGGTCCTGGAAACATTTTACCGAACGTGGTTAAAGTTGTCATATCCATTTAGCAACTTTTTTTTTCTCTTTCAGCAGTGTTTCTGTTGCAGTCTGTTTATCTCTTGCTAGAACTTGAATAATCACACAATCCACATTGTATATTTTCCAGGGAGTCCAAGTAATTTGCTCTTTGTAGACAAGTATGCTATTCCTTGTAAAAGGGGAATAAAACGATGCATTCATTGTTGGTCGTTGCTTCTTGACCTTGTTTCATGTGAAGGTACTGTCTACAATGTCAGGGGTGTCCAAGCCTGGTAATTGAGGGAAACTATCCAGCATGTTTTAGAGCAGGGATCATCAATTCCAGTCCTAGATCCGCAGCCCTGCATGTTTTACTTGTTTCTCTGCTCCAACACACCTGATTTGAATGAATGGGCTTCTGCAGAACTTGGAAGAGGTAATTCACTGACTGAATCAGGTGTGTTAGAGATGGGAAAAAAGTAAAACATGCAGGGCTGCAAACCTCGAGGACCATAATTGATTATCCCTGTTTTAGAGGTTTCTCTGCTCCAACACATGATTTCAATGGATTTGTAATTAACAGGCTTCTGCACAACATTAAGAGGCAATTTGGTCATTGAATCAGGAGTGTTGGAACGGGAAAAGGGATAACTACACTGCGAGGCGCATGCGAAGTAGGCACGCCTCATTACCTGAGCAAAGAGCATGGGAAGAGACGTGTACCAATAGAAACTGAATTTGAATCGCTCAGAATAAATCTGTATTTGCTTTAATGTGAAATTGAATGCATTGGTTTAAAAACAAATTTTGCCAAACTGAAACTGAATTTAAAGTTTTGAAAATGCATTTTGTTATATTAAAAGTTCAGTTTGATTACTTTCACTTTCGGTTCTATAATTCAATTTCAGTTCCAAAAATCATTTTTTTTGTGCCACACATACAGGTTCTTGACAAAACCAGTGTAATCAAAACACAGATTGACAGATTTACGTTTCACATCAGTGAAACTTCCTGCATTGGCTGACGCAATCCACTGTAAAAGTGACAAAAAAGAGACAAAGTTGTTTTATTGCAGTGATTATTGTACCTATAGAAAAGGTTTACATTTACATCACATCATGGATCAGTCAGCAGCAGCGTCCCACTGACACAGTTCGTTTAGAGTCTGTATGATGAATATATATAAAAAATAATAATCTGCCTGCAGTTGGAACGGACACTGTAAATACTGAGCCACCTGTTGGTGCTTGAGCTCACAGCAGAACCTGCTGCTCATTACAGATCTGTGTTCACGTCAGAGTTTCCATAGCCCCCTCCCCATTGTCAAGTTGCACTGTATTTGGTTCTGGTCTGTTCAGTTCTGCTCACAGGTGGAGGTGTGTCTCCACAGCTGTGGGCAGATCATCAGCATGTGGCTTAAGCCATCATGTTCGGTAGTTAGTTCAACAAAAGCAGGCACACTGGTTCTGTAAATCTAATGCCTTTGCTAGTAAGCTGATTATTTAGCAGATAGATCATTCATCCTGACAATAAGCTTTCACGGTTGTTCATGTAAACAATGATTTAATTAATTTCAATTCAGTTTATTTATATAGCGCCAAGTCACAACAACTGTTGTCTCAGGGCAACACACACACACACACACACCAACAACAGCCAACAAATCTAAAGAAGCCAGCAGACTGCGCCGAATCTTTGCTTCATCACAGTCTCCCATCCTGAGCAGCACACCAGCAGCAGCGGAGAGGAAAAACTCCRRRTWAACAGGAAGAAACCTCCAGCAGAACCAGGCTCAGGACAGGCAGCCATCTGCCTCGACTGGCTGGGTTTGGGACAGGAAAGAGACACAGGCAAACACAGGACTGGTCCAGGTGCACCTTCCTCTGGAAGAGAGACAAAGAAAACATGTTATTGATAGAAGTAACTATAACAAACATGTAGAGGAGAGAGACTAAAGATAATAGCAGAGTGATGAAATGTGTTCAGTTTGTCCTCCAGCAGTCTAAACCTATAGCAGCAGAACTAATTAACTATAATAACTAAGGAATAATTTGGGAAGCGTAAGTCTTAACTATATAATTTATCAAAAAGGAAAGTCTTCAGTCTAATCTTAAAAGTAGACAGAGTGTCAGCCTCACGGACAGAAACTGGAAGTTGGTTCCACAAGAGAGGAGCTTGATAACTGAAAGCTCTACCTCCCATTCTACTTTTACAAACTCGAGGAACCACAAGTAAACCTGCAGTCTGAGAGCGAAGGGCTCTGTTAGGAAAGTATGGAACAATAAGATCTTTAATATATCATGGAGCTTGGTTGTTGAGAGCTTTGTGTGTTAGTAGTAATATTTTAAATTATATTCTGAATTTGACAGGGAGCCAGTGGAGAGAAGCTAAAACTGGAGAAATATGATCTCTTCTTCCAACTCTCATTAAAACCAGCAGCAGCATTTTGGATCAACTAAAGACTTCTTAAAGAGTTTTTTGGATGCCCAGATAATAAAGAATTACAGTAATCCAGCCTAGATGTGATAAACTCATGGATCAATTTATCTGCATCATTTTTGGACAAGATGTTTCTAGTTTTAGTGATATTATGCAGGTGGAAGAAGGCAATCCTGGTAACATCTTTAATGTGGGGGTTAAAAGACATGTCTTGATCAAAAATAACTTAATTTAAATGTCTTTTTTATGCATTTTCTAGCTAAAAGCAACAGGAAGTTGACGTTCCTGTATCTGGCTAACGATGTCATCCAGAACAGCAAGAAGAAAGGACCAGAGTTCACCAAAGACTTTGAGTCTGTCCTTGTGGATGCCTGTTCTCACGTAGCCAGGTATATTTATATGTACCCACTAGAGACTGTCAACCAGCCACAAGTTTTGATCTGTAAAATAAGAGTATGTGAGTAAAGATAGGTTAATTATTATAATTTAAAAAAATATATAGGTAAACCATTTATTGGTGTCAATAGTGATCTATTGCAATAGGATGGAGCTTTAATTATTTGGACAGTTTTGACTTGCAACTAATCCCTAAACTCTGTGTCCACAACTGTGTTGTGTTTCACTCTGCAGTGAAGCAGACGATGGATGTAAAAAGCAAATGGAGAGGCTGCTAAACATCTGGAAGGAGCGAAGCCTCTACAGAGGTGACTTCATTCAGCAGCTCAAACTGGCCATAGAGGACTCTAACAGCCCCAGGCCCTCAGGTTAGACAACCCACACATATATAACCTAGTTACATGGGCTAAATTGTTTATTCAAGAAAGAAATAAAATCAGACAATATTGGATAAAATGTTTTTTATATTTTCTGTGAAGGAATTACAGTTCTATTTATTTTCTGTAATCGTCAGCAATAGGATCGAGTTGCAGACTTGCTCACAGTTACTTCTTTTTATTGTGATCTTAGTAACTGCTTTTCTCTCTTTAGGGAATTAGAGTTAAATGCAGCAAAATGTTGAACAAAGAGTGAGTGTTTCTTTTCTTCCTCCTCCGTGTTTTATGTGTACAACAAATGCAGAAGAGAAGAAGGCTGTAAAACGAAGCTATCAGAAGATTCATGAAGATGAAGATGATGATGACGACGACTACAGAAGCCACGTATCTCCTCACAGCACAGATAACTCTGCAACTCAGCTGGTAGGAATGCTCTCATTTGTGCACTTAAAGATGTTTTTTGTTGCATATGATGACTGGTTGACATGTTTTTCTCAAATGCTAGACCTCTCCATGCGAGGGGAGTCGTCATCATAAAGATTTTTATTGACCATCTACTTTGTATTTCAGTTTTCTAGCAATAGCGCTGATTTATTTTTGATTGCTACTTTAAAACCTGCTGAGCTACAGCTTAGTTTTTGTGAGGTTGGAGTTAAAGTTTAAAACAGATAAAGATTAAAGCTCCTCTGTGGTCCTGTTTTAACTAAATCTGACATGCTTTTCAGACGGAGGAGCTGGTGAAAGCCCTGCAGGACCTGGAGAACGCAGCATCAGGTGACGCAGCTGTTCGTCAGAAGATCGCCTCACTGCCGCAGGAAGTCCAGGATGTTTCCCTTCTGGAGAAGATCACAGGTAGGAGAGAGACCTCTCAGATTATCTACACCTTTATGTTATAGGTTTTATGTAGTCCTCTTTTCAGCCTTGATTTGATGTTGTTTTGTTTTATCTTTGTTATAAAAGATTGTCACTGAATACAGTACATTTTTGTTTTGGTTTTAAACAAAGTAAGATTTATTTAAAGCACAGATTACAATAAAGCAAACAAATCTGTGGCTTTACCTTTTTATCATTTCTAATTTTTCTTGTTTCATGAAACATGATATTAAACATGTTAAGTAAACTTCCTAAACACAGTTTGAAATTCACAGGACAGTCTATAAATAAATATAAAAAAATATATAAATTTAAAAAGAATAAAGCTTACCTGCCAGTAACATCATGAAAATAATGAATTGCAAAAAACATGAAGAATATAAACAACTCATTATTTTCTGGGGGGCTAGAGGGGTCTGAAAAGCTGCTAGGTCTATCGACATTGGGCCTCATGCAAGAACTGTTCGTACGCACAGATTTGTTCTTAAGTTGTGCGTACGAGTGATTTAGGAGAATTTGTGGCATTCACCAATGTTTTCGTATTCTAAGATTTTCTTCAGATACGAACAAAATTCACGAGTGGTCCAGACCTGTCGTATATTTTACGAGCAGTCAGTCTGCTGTTATCCAGACGGGTTTTCTTCACTAATAACTTTATATTTCGTTAGTTTGAAGATATTTAGAGTTGAAAATAAATCACACTCTATGATTTTGTTGACAATAGGCTATTCTGCTTGAATTAGAGTTATAATTTTAAATGTAATAATTTAGACTAACAATATAAATTGTCCGTCCGGCCGGCTTATCCGCTATCGGGTGCGGGGGCAGCAGCAGAGAGACCACGCTCTCCCCAGCGACACCTTCCAGCTCGTCCTGGGGGACTCCGAGACGTTCCTAGGCCAGAGGGGGTACATAATCCCTCCAGCGAGTCCTGGATTTTCTCCAAAGTGCCAGACTTATTTTGAAAACATTTTAAAATGCTTATTTCAAACCCGCATCTGAGACCACCTGCGACCGCGCAGCGCGCGGGGGCAGGGCACGGTGCGCAACGGTGTGTCTTCTGAATAAATGAAAATGATTTAACACAGTTGTTTATACTTTTAGCAGCTCTTTTTATTCCACAGCTGACCTGCTAAAAATGACAGATTTTCTTTTCTGGATCTCTGACAGACGGACTTCAATCTCTGAACTCGTAAAGTTCTTCTTTTTAGTTTTCGCTGTCATTTTTCATGAATGGACACTTCCTGGTATCTTAGGCAGGAAACAGCCTTATATGGTGTTTTTGGGGTATTAATTATGCTAATCTCCTCTCACGTGCACGAGCAGCTGGATACAAACAGGTGGAATTTACGCAGCTCATTTACACACTTTTCCTGAAGATAGAAGAGTTTGTTGAATCTGAGGTGACATGTTCGTACGAACCCTTTGTACGAACAAAAGTAAGAGAAATTTAGGATAAGAATACGAACATGTTCTTGCATGAGGCCCATTGTCCCTAAGTTAGCAACACTGCTCCGCTCGGCTCACTCCCAAGTCACGTGACCAGTCAAATCGCAGTCTGTGCAGTAAGAAAATCTCGTTTTAACATATCGGGACATTATTCCAAATGCGATTAATCGTTCAGCCCTAGTCAAAATCCAAAGAGTGAATCCAAAAAGCAAACATTAGAAAGTAGTGCTGAAACAGTTGTTTTAAAATAAAGTATAAATCTTTTTTTAAAACGAGCCAAAAAAACCCCACCTCTGGTTTGTTGTGGTTTGTAAATAAGTTGGTGCATTACTGCCACCTTGTGGTATGTTAGCAGGTGTGAATAACTGTCACTTCAGAAAAGTTTTTAACAACTGTAATAAAAACTGTAATAAACTCAAGTCAACATGTTCTCTGTGGCTCCAATCTAGACAAGGAGGCCGCAGACAAACTGTCAAAAACGGTGGATGAGGCCTGTTTGCTGCTGGCGGAGTATAACGGGAGACTGGCTGCAGAGCTGGAGGACCGCAGGCAGCTGGCTCGTATGCTGACCGAGTACATCAGCAGTCAGAAGGAGGCGCTAGCAGAAAGGGAGAAAAAACTGGATGTAAGGGCTCACCATGGAAACATCTCGTTTGAATCTGTTTTATTTTCACTTTATTCACTCAATCCAGTCTGGGAATGTGATATTGCTATTATTCTCACAATATTTTAATTTCACATACTGAATTTCCAGACCTCAGGAGCCAAGATAATTGTCAATAATTGTAGCTTATGTTTGAACAATGTTCTGGTGTTTTCTGCAGGAGTATAAGCAGAAACTGGCGAGAGTGACTCACGTGAGAAAAGAGCTCAAGTCCCACATCCAGAGTCTCCCGGATCTGTCCCTTCTGCCCAACGTTACTGGAGGCCTGGCTCCTCTTCCGTCTGCGGGGGACCTCTTCTCTACTGACTGAGAGCAAACAGTTCAACCAAACTACCACTGTGCCCCTCCCCAGCCAGATTCAAGTCCTTCATTTTATCAGCAGCTACGCTTCAGAGAGCACACGTGGTGGAACCTGTCGCAGAACAGGAGCTAACTCAATCCTAAAAGAGAGGAAAGATGTTTAAAGATAAGGCTTCTTCAAACTGCGGAGGAGAGCAGAGACTCATTCAGACTGCACTGATCCTCGAGGATTCTACTCCACCAGCTTGGAAGTTTGTTTCCTGATTGTTTTTATTTTAGTTTTAAATGCTGGAATCGGCGTTTGAATAAAAGCGACTTCCTCTGCGATACATTTTTCAGTTAAATAAGTAAAGTTGGGCTGGTGGTTACAGCTGCACTGTGAAGAAAATTAAAAAAATTTTTAGTTGAATTTTCTTTGGGAGGTGGGCGTTGTTAAAGTTTTCTGACTTGGTCATATTGGTGTGTGTACAACCATAGAAAAGATCACACTGGGTTCATTTTGTTTGTTTTGGCAGCAGGTACATCACACATCTTAAACTTATTTAGTGGTCTAAATTAATGGGATTTATTTTACAAAAATATCTTGGGAAAATATTTTGAAGTTAAACGGAAGATTAAAGATTTTCATGCTTTAGTTTGAACAGATTGTTAAAATATGAAGCTGATAGTGTTTAATATGTTAGGTTTTGAATTTTGGAAAGAAAAAAAACAATTTAAACATAAAAAAATGTGCAGGTTTTCCTTCAAAGAAAAAAATTAGAAATTATTAAGATAAATATTTTGTTTACTGGCCTGAGCAATATGAAACAAAACAAAAATAATAATCCAAAAGAATTACTGTTTGCGTTCAGATAATTTTTTAATGTCATTTTGAATTTGAAAACAAAATCAAGACAAGTTTAAAAAACAATTATCATTTTTACTTTATATTTTCACTGAACACAATCATAAAACTATTTCTGTCCTTGTTTACCAGTCTCCATGATTACGTGTGAACAGATTCACATGTTTTGTTTTTGATTCACAGTCCTTTATTTTGGTAAGCATAAAGAAACAATAATTTACATACAAATCCATTATTGTATGTTTGAAATGATTTTCTGCACTCTGTGAAGGCGACATCTTTGTTTAATGATTTTTTAACAGGAAAAAATGCATTTATTGACAAAGAGCTATAACATTTTATCCCTTAACCTAATTTCTTGTTTGTAAACTGAGCGATGCCTCCTGCCTGTTTAAAAACAGATCTTTAAAAGATGTGATGAAGATGGATGTCTTCAGTTTTTTTTTATTCAAATGTTTGAAGTGTCATCACTGAAAAACACATTTTGACCTTTATAATGATTCCCAGTGAACTGCTGTACACCAGAAGGATTCTGGGAACGTTTTGATCCCTGATGTGCTGACTTGTTGATAGTATTTAGATATTTTCTTACCTACCTGCTGTTTAGTATGTGTTTCTCTCTTCAGAGTAAATGCTGTACTAGCAGGACGCTACTAGAAGTAGTGTGTTTCTTTTATAAACGTGATTTCAGTGGATGCCAATAAACTGGAACCATTTTCACAAATATGTGAGTCAACATTTTCTGCACGTAATTATTTTCCATGGTTTTCTGACATGACATATGTCGTTATCACGAAATAATGAGGAGCATTTTCTCTAGATAAGTTAATTTCCAGATGGTTTTCCTCCTGTGCAGCATGGAGACAGGCTGGTCCCCTCAGCTGATGTACAGGTCCTTCTCAAAAAATTAGCATATTGTGATAAAGTTCATTATTTTCTGTAATGTACTGATAAACATTAAACTTTCATATATTTTAGATTGATTGCACACCAACTGTAGTAGTTCAAGCCTTTTATTATTTTAATATTGATGATTTTGGCAAAAAAGTAAAGAAAAATCAAAAATCCCTATCTAAAAAATTAGCTTATCATGAAAAGTTTCTCTAAACGAATTATTAACCAAATCATCTGAATCAACAAATTAACTCTAAACACCTGCAAAAGATTCCTGAGGCTTTTAAAAACTCCCAGTCTGGTTCATTACTCAAAACCACAATCATGGGTCAGACTGCTGACCTGACTGCTGTCCAGAAGGCCATCATTGACACCCTCAAGCAAGAGGGTAAGACACAGAAAGACATTTCTGAACGAATAGGCTGTTCCCAGAGTGCTGTATCAAGGCACCTCAGTGGGAAGGAAAAAGTGTGGCAGAAAACGCTGCACAACGAGAAGAGTTGTCAGTCAGTGATGGTCTGTGGTGCCATGCCAGCTGCTGGTGTTGGTCCACTGTGTTTTATCAAGGCCAGGGTCAATGCAGCTAGCTTTCAGATTTTGGAGCACTTCATGCTTCCATCTGCTGAAAAGCTTTATGGAGATGAAGATTTCATTTTTCAGTACGACCTGGCACCTGCTCACAGTGCCAAAACCACTGGTAAATGGTTTACTGACCATGGGATTACTGTGCTCAGTTGGCCTGCCAATTCTCCTGACCTGAACCCCAGAGAGAATCTGTGGGATATTATGAAGAGGAAGTTGAGACACAAGACCCAACACTCTGGATGAGCTTAAGACACAAGACCCAACACTCTGGATGAGCTTAAGACACAAGACCCAACACTCTGGATGAGCTTAAGGCCACTATCGAAGCATCCTGGGCCTCCATAACACCTCAGCAGTGCCACAGGCTGATGCCTCCATGCCACGCCGCATTGAAGCAGTCGTTTCTGCAAAAGGATTCTCCATCAAGTATTGAGTGCATAACTGAACATAATTATTTGAAGGTTGAAGTTTTTTTGTATAAAAACACTTTTCTTTTATTGGTAGGAGGAAATATGCTAATTTTTTTTAGATAGGGATTTTTGATTTTTCTTTACTTTTTTGCCAAAATCATCAATATTAAAACAATAAAAGGCTTGAACTACTTCAGTTGGTGTGCAATGAATCTAAAATATATGAAATTTAATGTTTATCAGCACATTACAGAAAATAATGAACTTTATCACAATATGCTAATTTTTTGAGAAGGACCTGTCTTTTTATATTATGTATCAGGAATAAATTCTCACAACTGATCTACTTTTATTCTATTATTCTTCAAAAACAACAAACCAGTTGTGTCACTATACTTTCCTGACAAAGTTGCCTAATTTAAACCTTTCAAAAAAATCTATTAAAAAGTGTTTACAAAGCAAAATGTTTCAACTAAAGCAAACTTTGATTGAATCAGTCTTATTGAATCCTGCGCCATGATGATAAGTCGGAGCGCGGTGAAAGAGGAAGATATTGAGGATGAGATCAGAAGTCAGCTGGTACCTGAAGGTCCTGATTACCTGAGTCAATAAAAGATAAACACTGTGATGTGAGGAGCTCATCTGTCATTTCACATTCTGTTCCAAACCTCAAGCAACAATCTGTCAACTCAAACTGCAGCCTTATTTTCAAAGGAGCTGCTTCAACAGGTAAGAACTTCTTTAAAGTTTGCTTTGTCAGGAGCTGTAATTTATACTACTTTTTTTCTTGACCGTAAAGATCTTCATTAGTAGATAAAATGACAAAATTAATTACAAATCTTTTTTCCTATTAATCCAACTTAATTTCCATATATTGTTCTTGATGGGGTTTTTTCTGTTTACAGGCCCCATCTTGTCTCTGCTACACTTTGTCCTCGTCAGCATGCCTCTTCGCCACTGCTCTGTTGAGATTAAGAACAACACAAACAACTACACTCTTTCCAATCCAAGGTGACTTTATGTTTTACAGAAACATGAGTGATAACCCTGATTTGGAACAGTTCTCTAGACTTTTTACTGGAGGCTCTTTTAAACGCAATAAAAGAAGATTGGATTAGATTGCATCAAATGTTGCGTTACGCTTTTAAAAGAGAGAAAGAATTTATGAAATCCCCATGATGTAAATATTGAAGTAAAAGTTTTAAATAATGAAATGACATCAAATAAAACAAGCAGTCTAAATTTCCAAATAATAAGAACTTCTGTAGCAGAATAAAACTTCAAAAACTGAACAACTGGAATCTGTTTGGACTAACTCCTTCAGGAGAGTTGAGACTGTTTCCACAGCTTTGGGAATGTTTTCTTTCTGCACAGACCCCAATTAAACAATTAAAATTACTGAGCCCATCTCTGTTTTCAGGGTGTTCACTGAGAGCGGTTTCTGTAAAGTCCCGTTGCCACCGATGGTCGGCCCCTGCTCTGCCGTCAGGGCTCTGTTCAACAAGACCACGGGTACAGCAACCGGAGCCGTCGGCGTCTTCACCTATGACCTTTTCAACGCTGACCTGAACGACTACAGCCACATCATGGCGGTCATGTTCTCTGTGCCGTACGACAGAATCCTGTACTCCAATTGGTTGGCTGTGGGGATCTTCGACAAAGGAAAGAGATGTGACCACGACCTGTACGAGCTCATGTATAAGGGCAGTGGTAGTAAGTTTGTGAGAGGAAAGGCTGATGGCTCCAACATCTTTTATGAGGGTGACTACGTGATTCTCAGCGCCTCCATGACTGCGTCTGGTGAAGCCATCCTGAAGGTGGAAGTCAATGATACTGGCTTGTATTGAGTCAGGATGCATGTCTTCCTCTTAATGTAAGCCATAAATGTCAGTAATCTTGTTAATATTCAAGAAAATTTTCCTGATGCATCTCAATAATCCAGGTAGAAAAATAGCAAGGTGGAGTCAGGTCCTCTGGATGGGTTCTTCTTTGTTGAAATGTCATCTCTTCTCCAAAAACCTTCGTCAGTCCGAGGTGTTGCAGGTAAACTCAGTTTTAAAAGCAGCATTTTAGCATAGCGGATAACCCATTTAATGGCGACAATTGAAACTGGGTATTCATTTCCAAAAGAGGACCATCAGCCTAACAACCGATTGTTAGTGCCCTGATAGCCTCTTGTTGTTTACGTAAGGCTGAGTCATACTCACAGTAATAGCATTGACTGTAGTGGCTTTCAAACTATATAAACATTACAGCAAAGACTGGTTCACCCTAAAGATCCAGTCCCCCGGCTCAAACAAATTTATGTTGTGTACGCTGTTAAAGGAGGACTGTGACCAGTTATTCATCAGGGAAACAAAGAAGCTACTGTTCAAAAGAATGGCCCAGCAGGTTAATATTTCAGCTGTTGAGGACTCCATTTAAGGAGGCTAAGTTCACATGATAGGTTAGACCAGTCATTAAAAGGATTGGAGGCCTCCATTTCTAATTGTCCCCCTCTTATAATGCTGTTATTGCGAGTATGACTCAGCCCTCTGTGAACAACAATCCTAATGATCAGTTGTTAGGCTGATGGTTCTCTTTTGCAATGATAAACTTGTTTATCCACTATGAAATGGTACTGCTTTATAAGACTGAGTTTATCTCAGGCAGAAGAAGTCTCATGGAGAAGAGACAAAATGTTACAATGAAAAAGAACCAGAGGACCTGACTCATCTTTGTCAGATCCTAGAAAATTCAATTTTTTTAAACTACCGAAAATAGTTTAACAGAAGGAACAAGAGTTCAAAAACTGCAAACTGACACTGCATCTTTTATTCATTTTGCTTGTAGATAAAAAATAAAACATGTTTAACACAGAACTGAAAATCAGAGACTTGCACAAGAACAAAAACACAAACTTTTCAGGCAGTGGTAATGTGGAAAATATGAGCTGCACGAATTTACAGAAGACCCATAAAAATGTTTAGTGTATAGAAGATTAAGAAAAAAATGTGGAAATGTCACATGAAACAAAAAAATCAAAAAATGTCTCACCTGTGATGTTAAACTGCTTTTACTTCTCTAAGCTGTAAATTCACCAAAAACTGAAGCAAAACAGCTGACAAGACGTTTTGATGCCTAATCTGGGAGAACTAAAAATAAAATATTCCCACTTGTTTGTATTCTGTAAGTAATTTTATGTTCAGAAATCTTTTTCCCACATATATTTTGCAATTTTTATGAATATTTGTTGCTTCTGACTCCATAAGAATCAAGTCGCTGAGAAAAAAACAAAACAAAACTGTAAAAATCCAGGCAGGAAGTGACTCATGCCACATCCTCAAATTACAGGTTCAGCAAGAATAATGCAGTCAAATTAAATTATGACTATTAACAAAAGATAAAATTTAAAAGAAAAACAATGAAACAATAAAGAAAAAAAATCAAAAAATACAGACAGGCCTCAGAAAAATGTGGATTCAAAATAAAGCCTCAGATTTTTGTATATGTGCACATTTTGCACAATAAAATTAAATCTTAAAGCTTTTTTAAAAATGCCACTTTACACATAAAAAACACAATAAAATAAATCAAAATAACCTGAAAATAACAGTTATTTATGGTCTTTTACATAAAAGTAAAGCTGATGTGTTAGTGGACCCTCACTTGAAGTGGTTTTAATGAAGTTTTGCAGTCGTGTTCATTATGTTGTATTTTGTGCTGCATTGGCAGTTTTTTAAAGATTGTCTCTCAGTAATAAAAGCATCATGAATATAAAACACAGAGAAGTGGGTCTATACCTTCATATAAATCAGATACAAAAGAACAAAATCGATAAAAACATTCAAAAGATCAGAGAAGCTGATTTTTTTTTTACTATATATTAGATAAATAATTAATAAACATAGTAAATGATTCAACTTTACCATGAGTACAGTTTTCTTCTATTTATGACTAACTTCTTAAAGTCTTTGAGTTTTCATTTTTACTGCAGTATTACAAAGTATGAACAGTACCTGGTATCTGTTATGTACCTGGTACTTCTCACTTATATCCTTGGTACTTATTGTGTACTTGACTTGGTAATCACCCACTTACATACGTGGCACACACCAGTTATGTATCTGGTGCTTGTCCAGTTACCTGGTACTTATTGGTATTTACCAGATATGTACCAGTTTCCTGTATTGTTGATTACTAGTGAAATGTTTTAAGCAGTATTTTGACTGTTGCTCAATGAACAGACTCCTGAAGTCGACCTTGAATCTAATAGATGCTGGACTTAATTTCCACTGTAGTAATAAATACATTTTTTTCATTTGTTTGATCCCTGCAAAAAATTATGCATGAACTGTACAGGACTGAGGATCCTACAATATACATTTATATTAAATATTCTAACAGTGAATCCAAACTTCATGAATTCTAAATTCGTTCATCAAAAACAGTCCTTGTACAAAAAAATAATGGCTTTTCTGCTCCTCTGACGTTTTCATTTATGTTTTCTTCTGTCTTCAAGTCAGTTTGGGGTCTGCAGCAGCTTCATGATTCCTCCTCTGCAACAACATTGAAAGCATTGGTTAATCTTCCTGCAGGGGGTAAAAACAATAATAGTCATCAAATAAAAATTAAAATAAATACAGCAAATAAAATGTCTTATTAAAGCTCTATGAGTTCTTAAATAAGATAAAATTCAGAAATAAAAAATGTCTAAACAGCAATAGCTTAAGAAAAATGTTGATCTCCTTAAAAATGTATAGAAATAGACTCCTTTTTTGTCTTTTGTATCCCTTTAATATGGAATTTGAATTAAATAAAGTCCAACAAATTTACACACAGCTTAAATACATATAAAACAACAACACACAAAGAACTAAAATACAGATTAATAAGAAATAATAATTTACATGAATGTTACCTTTTTCTGAGTCCAAAATTAAACTTCTGTTGATTTTCCCTGCAAAAAGAGCCACAAAAAATACAACTGAAGCTTCTCTGTAACAATAATAATCAATTATGGTCATTCTGTTGCTTTTTAAATTTTAGTATTTGTAACAAGAAAGGACTTTTTGTAAGAAACCCATTCTACAAATTAGGTTTTAATTACAGTATGTGGATTAGGAACTATATACTGTATATATATATATATATTGTCACACAAGGTATATAATAAAAAAAACAGTGTTTGATAAAACTGTCATATGATCTGTTTTTGTCCAAATGATTAATCAGACTGAGTGTCTTTCTGTGGTGTGCAAAAAGAAAGGGATGAAAATCCCCTAAATCGTAGCTTCTCAAACATTAATTGTGGCTGAATTAAGAAAGTGAATAAACATAAAACGATGAGACTTTCACTGCTCCCATTGGGGATTGAGATTATTGTCTTCAGTTTATATCTGGTTTCTTTGTTAGACTTTAAAGCGCACCTGAGCTTTTTCTAGATGTGGAGGTTTTGGAGGGATGCCCGGCTTCTTCCTGGTAACAGCCGGTGAGTCGTTTTTCCTCAGACTGGGTATCCGACAGAGCTCTGCTGGTTTTAGCTCCGAACTGTGAGATCCAACGTTTGAGTTGTCCATTATCTCTCCACTGAATTCAGCCAGGTTTGTCCTGTCCTCTGCGGACTCAGGGCTGTTCACTAAAATACAAACAATACCAAAAATAAAATTTAATTTATGGTGTTTATAAAGAACAAAAGCCAGCGGATAAACTCACTCAAAGGACAGCGAGTTTTCCACTGGTCGCAGTGAGGATGAAGATGATGCTGATGAAGGTGACGACTGTTCAGATCGTTGTCCGTCGCCGCCTCAGGTGACGAGCAGAGCATCACGTTTGTGTCTAATCCATATGATGGGTTCCCAGGATAACCAGCAGGGGGCAGCGAGCCGCGGCCAGAGGAGGATGATGATTGGCTGAGGGTGGTGGAGGCGGTGCTGCCGGAGCCGATGGAGCTCGGCCGCGGATATTCTAAACCTCTGTGTGAACAACACGCCACAGGCACTGACGACACACAGATACACGTCATCAATGAGAATATGAGATGGTTTATCCAGACGTAACTAAAAACAGAAAGAAAATGTGTACGATTTAAAACTTTCTGTGCCCAGTTTCCCTTGTTACTGTTGTGCAGGAGAAGGGCTCAGCCATGATGAGGTGGTGAAGGAGGAGTTCATTTCTTAAATGGAGAGAAAAGTGTTTGTCCACAGTAGGAGGTGACACCTTAAATTAGGAATGACCTGTTAGAGTGATTTAAGTGTTTTCCGTCACTAACAGTTAATGTAAAAGTCCAAAAGAGACCAGAAGAAAACAGCTCTCTGTCACAAGTACCAAACTGAAGGCCCCCGGGCCAAATGTGACCCGCCTGGCATTGTTTTGTGGCCCATGAGAGCTTCAAAACTGTATTCAGAGTTGTAAAGTAACTTTGTTACTGTACTTAAATAGAATTTTTGGGTATCTGTGCTTTACTTGAGTAATTATTTTTCAGCCTACTTTTTACTTCTACTTCTTACATTTTCACACAATTATCTGTACTTTCTACTCCTTACATTTAAAAAAAGGCAAGAAGTAGAAAGTCGTTACTTTTATTTCATTTTTGCTTGTTTTCATTCCAGCTTGTTATTATAAAAATTAAATACTATCCATATAAATTGTGTCTCCTAGATAGAGTGAATTTAATTGTGGTTGAATGAGAAGTATAAATATATGCAATTTTGATACGGCATTAGTTTGTACACAAACAAATCATGTCACACTCCAGCAGGACATAATCATTAAAATAAAAGGACTGTACTTAAGAAGTATTTGTATTTCATGAATTATATTGTTGCATTTGGCCGCAGCCCTCAGATATATTTTCATTTTGGGGAACAGGTTTGGGCAGCCTTGATATATGTATATAAACTGAAACAGCTGGACTAGTGCATCCTAAACTGAACAACTAAATATTTTAATATGTTGTAGTCATTTCTGCATTTTTTTGGAGGGAGGTCATCTCCTAAAATATGTCATTACAGAAAATATAACTGCTCATTTTAAATCAATACTTTTACTTTTACTACTTAAGTACAAAAAATAACAGATACTTTAAGACTTTTACTCAAGTAATATTCCTAAAGGAAACTTTAACTTTTACCAAAGTAATTTTTTGGTAAGATACTTGTACTTTTACTCAAGTATGACTTTGTGGTACTTTATACAACACTGACTTTATTAATGTCTAAAATGAAGCGTATGCTGCTTTAAAGCCAGCACTGACCAAGCAAAAAATAACCCTGGGAGCTCTCGATTTACCGCTCGATCTACGTTCCTACCCTCATCTATGGTCATGAGCTTTGGGTAGTGACCGAAAGAACGAGATCATGGATACAAGCCGCCGAAATCGTGCCAAGCTGTCGCTGTTTCATGACAAATTTGCGTCATTCTGTTCACATTGTCGACATTTTCTGCACCTCTTGTCGCGACTCGCGGGTCGAACTTTTTTTACCACCCTCCACAGAAGAACACAAGAACTTTGCTGTGTGATTGGTCAGAAGTTTGTGGGAGTGTTTGTTCGTGCTGAAAGCGCTCAGACGCTGCGTTTTGCTTCAACCACTCACTTAATAACAGTGACTCGCTTCCAGAGCCGACTGTTGTACCAGGAAGCAGCAGTTTACAAAAACTCATAAAAGGGGATAAAACAGACGTTTTTCACGGTGGAATCTGACTGATAAAAACTTTGGAGCTTAATCCGGAACAAGTGTTTATAAGAGCATGTGTTGAAACACTGTCGATGCAAGAAATACCGCGTTTGTTAGCGGTGCTCAGCGGTAGCAATGAGACTAGGAACGTAAGCTTTCATGTTTAGTCGAAGTTAACTACAACTGGCCCTTTGAGGGCCACCATAACGCTCATGTGGCCCTCAGTGAAAATGTGTTTGACACCCATGAGTTATGAGGTTCAGGTGGTTGTTACCCTGCTGGATCTGCCAACCTGTTATCTACACTTTGAACAATAATTTGAACTATTCCAGCTCTTCAGTCTGTAAACGGTCTGAAACATCACTGCTTTTTGTGTTTAGTCTTCAAAGTCTGGCACAAATATACTGTATTAGAAAACCCACATTCAGTATCTAATGTTGGATTTCTAATGAAAGGAAATCAGAATGAGATTTGAAATGTTAGGTTTGCAGGATCTTACTTCTCCCAGGCAGAACACAACCAACAGCTCGGTCACAGATCGCAGCATCACTATGTTGGATGTCCATGAAGGGTTCACGACTCATTCCCATCAACACCCTCTCCTGCAAACGAAGCTCTGGAAAATATAATAGGTTCATAATGTGTTTTCTACCTCTAAATCATTTTATATAAACACATTGGGACAAAAAAAAATGTATTTAGTTGTGACAACCTCTACTGTGAGCTGCTTGGTCCCAGAGTATCCTCTCCAGGTCAGAGGTCCAGGCTTTCTTCACTTCGAGACTGGAGGCCTTCAGAGTGAACGTGTCCTCGTTCTTCCTCCTCCGGATCCAGATCTCAAAACACAAACTGCTCATAACCGAGTTCTGGGTCATTCCGATGTCGTTCGTCTGGAAAACAAAAACACAAAGAAATCACACAGAAGTAGTCACGAGGAAGATATGTAACAACTCAGGAAAGATGAGACCATAACAGTTATTTTCAGGATATTTTGTTTGTTTTTAACCCTGATTTAAAGTTAAAATAGATGCTACCAGAAAATAAATGAAGATTTCAATATGGCAGCAATATTTTTTCTTTAAAAAAAGACAAATCCAAGAGAAAAACCTTTCTATCTGTTTGAAGTTTACTTTATTTAAGGAGTAAAACGATCACTGTGAAGAATAACTAAAAACTTCTATTTCCTTCCAATAGAGTGTTTATTTTTACAAGTGAGTAATTAAAAGTTAAAATTAATGCTTAGTTGTTAAGAACAATGTGTGCAAACCTTAAATGACTGTTTGTAAACATAAACATCATTTCCAACGTTCGTCCTCTTGGGTTTGCTGAAGAGAACCAGTTGTTCAAAGAGGAAGATTCTGCGAACACATTTCTTCTTCCTGAAGAAAACTGTGAACTCATCTTGGCGAAACAGCTGCCCCTGCTCTTTTAAATTGATCTTAAACAGAGGAGAAAAAATGGGGGGAAAAAGAGGCTGTTATTGCATTTTAACTAAAGTGATGAAACCATATTTGGTCCAGAGTTTTTAAAAATCTTACATCACAATCCTGGATGGCGTCCATTGTGAGCAAATCGTTGCCGTGACGCATCTGAAACTGAATGAGGTCAGCTGCAGCCTGGATGTCGGCCCTCTCCCTGTCCCTCTCGAAGTCTGTCAGGTCGGGGACATGAGCGGCCGGGCCGTGTCCACACACATCTCTTGACCTGTGCGTGCAGACCAGCGCCAGCATGTCCAGCAGCAGGAGGCTGTACTTGCTGATCCTCTGGATGGGCCTCAGCAGGTAGGACGAGAGGTCCATCATGTCCCCGAGCTCCTGCTGCTTCTTCTGTGAGGAGACAGTGACGTCAGGGACATAGAGATGCTGCCAGTTTGAGGACTTTAAACAAACAAAGAAACAAAAACCTTGAAGATATCATGGCGGCGGTGCAGGATCAGAGCGTCTGACTGAGGTTTATTCTTGCTGTACAAAGCGTACAGGCCAAAACTCCCGCTCTGCAGAAAGTTCAGGTGCAGCAAATTTAAAACATTACATGGAAACAAAAAGTAAAAGTGTGCGGTCGTTTCTCACATGTCTGAGGAAGCAGCGGGCCACCATGCCCGGCTGCCTCTCACACGCCTCCAGCTCCGGTAAGAAATAGTGACTGTGGAAGTCGTAAAGTTTCTCCAGGTTTCCAAAGATGACCCCTCGCTTGCCCCTGAGGTCCTGAGGAATGTCCAACCTGTCCATCAGGGGGAGGTAGTGAGTCAGGATGTAACCCAGGGAGCGCACGTACTCCCTCTCTGTGAACACCAGCTCCTCCATGACGCGCTGCAGCCTCCTGGACACGAAGGAGGAAACAATTCATTAACTTCACCCCTGCTGACAATGATTCAAACAAGCACCGGATCAATGGTGGGCACAGTTCCKCTAAAGCACTAATAGGGGAACTAATTTCCTGATTAGTGCTTTAGGGCTTTTGCTAATTAAAAAAATATTAGTGGATTAGCACTTACTAAATTTATAGGCTAAATTTAGAAGCAACTGAGGTCTATAAATGTTATTGATCAACGCTAATGTTGAGGGTGAAAAATGTCACTTATCCACCAGGTGACAATAAAAGAACCCTGTGAAATGTCAGTGATGAGTCCTGAGAGAGCAACATGGCAATCTGTGACTCATGTTGTCTGTTGAAGAATGTTCATGGGTTGACTGGGTTATTTTAGTGCTTTAGAATTAGGGGACCTAAATATTTGAGTTAGTGTTTTAGGGCTAGTGGAACTATTTTTTAGATTAGTGCTGCCCAACACCGCATCTGATTATTATTATTAGCATTATTATAGGAAAGAGAAAGGATTGTTTTAGTCTTATGAGTAGTTTATGTAATCTTAAAAATATATAAAATAGTAGTTTTTTTTTTATTTTAGACAAACAATTTAAATAGTTTGCAGCCAATTCAACCTGCTGACTCAGCAAAATCACACCAATTGGTAATAATTTAAATAGTTCACAGCAAGGAGATTTTGTTTTATTTTGTTACATTTATGTTTGTTCTCCTGTCTCATGCATAAAATGGAGTCTTCACTATTTACTAGTCAAACTTTTGCACTAAAAAAGTGGCCCATTTATATCAATGAGATACAAATAATGTCATTAAATTCAATAAAACTTTCAGCTTTGATGTGAACTGTGAATCCTGAAACTTGACTGCTTTACTTGTAAACTCATTTATTAAATAAAACCAGAAATTGGCCTCTGAGTGGTGGCTTGTTGTTAAAAATACATTATTCATGAAATTACAATAAAGTTTATACATTTATTTAAAAAGACTGCACAATTTGGGCCACATATTTTTATTATTTACCATTTCAACAGATAAAATAGATGAATTTTAGTCTTTATTCTAATTAGATAAGCTATGGGAACAAGCTGACACTTAGCTTCAAAAATGTAAAACAGGTCCTCCTCAAGACAAATTACCCTGAATATTACTTTCCTAAATGTCCTTACAACCAGCACTTTACTCAGTCAGGGTTTTTTTTAACTCCCAGAAAATTGTAAAACAGCCAAAACACTGAGTTCCTTTAAATCAAGACTGAAAACCCACCTGTTTAGAGTTGTTTATGAAGCATATGAAACATTAATAAACATTTTGATGTGTGAAAATAGCATTTGACAAACTGTAATGCTTCAATTCTTAACTGTGTTCTATGACTTTGTATTTTTTGTGTTTTTATGATATAAAGCAGTGTTTCCCAAAGTTGGGGTCGGGACCCAAAGTGGGGTCCGAAACGTCAAGGTGGGGTCCTGAAAAGATTTTCTGAATTAATTATATTTTTGCCTTAGTTGTTACAAATGAGTGAGGTTAGTATGTTTAAAATGGATAAATGTAATGTAAAAAATATTGTTACTATGTCCATGTTTTGTTGACCTGATACAAATGTTTATCATCCAAAAATAGTTGGAGGCTCAGGTCTCTGCTACTGTTTTGTACTATTCTGTGGGTCAAAAGCTGAAAAGTTTGGGAACCACTGCACTTTGGTTCCCAAAGTTGGGCTTGGGACCCAATTATGGGTCATGAAGCACCTTGGATAATCTCCAGAAATCAATTTAAAGGGTAATAAAATAATTGCTGATGTAATACATTCCCTATAATTATTACAAAAACACAAAATAAGTCAAAATGAGTATTTACAGTATATTTGTGTATAAGCTGCTTAGATTGTCAAAAAGCCTGTGTTTTTAGTTTTATTATCGCAGTTCATGTACTCAGACCAGAAATATTTGGGGTCACAAGTTTTTGCCATGGGTATTTTGTGGGTCAGAAGACAAAAAGTTTGGGAACCACTGATGTAAAGCACTTTGAACTGCCTTGTTGCTGAAATGTGCTACACAAATAAACCCAATTGACTGATTGATTTAATCTGTCATACAAAACTGAAGAAAAAGGGACTGTACCTGAAGCTTTTCACTGTCAGCTTAGAGACAGAAAAGAGTTCATTAAACCCAATGAGATTCACAAAAGTAAAAAAATCTGAGGGAATAATTATTGATAAATTAGGATTCAGATGTTTTCATCAGAGGTAAACATGCTGAACTTACAGGGCACTGCTGGTGTTCTCCTGTGGACTGGATAAATAAAACGCTCCTCCGTATCTCCCAGAGGGGAGGCTGGAGTGTTTGCAGCAGACAGTGCCGTCGCCCCCCGCCGCCCCCCGGTCGCTCGTAGACGACTCCTCCTCGGAGCAGAAGCTCCCGTGGCGGGAAATCTGAAACTTCTGAGCCTCCTGGAGGATTCGAGCAGACGGCTGGCTGTGGTGGGAACACGATGACGGAGGCCGGGTCTGCTGCTCGGGAGGAGACGAGCCGGCTGTGGCGAGTCTAGTCGTGCACGAGTCCTCACTGACCGAGCGCGCCACGGGACCCCGCCTCCATGGAAACCACTGGCAGCCGACAGCGTGGGCCTGAGACAGGGCAGCAGCATCTCTCTCGCTTCTGGCTCGGCTCGTCTGCCTCCTCCTCGCCTCCCTGTCCGGTTTTCTTGAAGATCTAATAAAAATAAAACCCATGATTATGTTTTTGCAAAGTGTTGTTGTTTTTTTTTTAACTTTTTGTCATCATCTGAACCCTAAACTCAATGAAACTCAAGTATGTGGGAGACATAGCTTTTACCTATGTTTTGCTACTTTTAACTTTTAGCTATCATGTAGCCATTTTGGCTTTAAGTTACTGTTTTGACCATTTTGGAACTTGATCTGCTGTTTTTAGCTTTGAACCACTGTTTTGCTGATTTTAGTATTTCAATATACTTTTTTGATTGAAATGAAGATTTTATCTACTGTTTTAGTCCTTTTAGCTTTTAGCTACTGTTTTTTTATTTTAGCTCTTAGCACAACTACTGCTATTATTTTGTTGATTTTATAATTTAGCTGTTTAATTTTTAGCTGCCATTTTGCCACTTTGCCCTTTAGCTACTGTTTTTACATTTTACTTTTAGCTACTGCTTTTCTTTTCATAATTTTAAACCACTATTTTACTGATTTTAGCTCGTAAACAGTTTTGATAATTCTGGCTTTTATGTACAGTTTTTTCTAATAGCATTTTGTTACTGTTTTGTTCATTTTAGCTTTAATCTATGCTTTTGTTGATTTTAGCTTTTAGCTACTGTTTGGCTAATTTAGGTTTTTAGTTACTATTTTGCTGATTGTAGTTTTTAGCTACTGATTTTCCAATAATTTTTGCTATGATTTTGCACATTAGCATTTGTCTATAACTTTAGAAGAAATTTCAGTTTCTTCAACAAGAGTCAGAAATAAACTAAATTTTCAGAAATCACACATTTTCAACTGAAACATCCACCTTTGTAGATTTCATTGGCATTCTATATACTTGTATATTTATGAGTTAAATTTAAGAGTGCAGTTGTTACCTGTGGGGCGATTGTGGCGTGACCTTCGACTCTTGGCTTGTCCCAGCATCACTGCTGTCTTCAGGTTTTATTATAATATTACAGCAGGCCACAGTCGTTGAACATGGAGTCCTGGTATCCAGGATCGGTCTCCGTTTTTCTAAATCTACTGCTCCTGACACAATACCCTCCCAGTGTGGATGCCGAAATCCAGGGGTTGACTGTACCAGCAGCTTCTGTCCTCCAGGAGATGCTGTCTGAACATTAGTGCTCATCACGTCAACATAGTGACCTTCGCAGCAGCTGCTAGAACCTGCTTGTTGGTGGCAAACCTCATTCATCTCCTGCATCCTGTCCTGAAGCAGCTGATGAGCTTCTTGACATCTGCGATAAGCGTCGTTCCAAATTTGTATCCCTCTGGAGTCTGGCAGGGTGGAAGCCTGGGTTTTAATTTCCTGGAATCTTTCTGGACTGAAGTGAAGGAATCTTTCTTGGAAAGACTGAAGAATTATTCTGTCAGGAGAAGCCAGCGAGACTCTGGTGGTGGTGGAACCTGAACCATGTGCTGCATCAGACTGACAGCGAGGTGTAGGGTTCAGACAGGGCTCCTTGTTCTGTTCTAGCAGCGTGTTTGATTGATTGAACTGGGAGGCACTTCCAGGATCTTGTATTGTGAGGGCTCTGGGTTGACTTTGGGTCAAATAATCGGTGCATTCGTTGGCCAGCTCCACAGCCTGTTTGTGGAGAAAACAGTTTTTGCACTTCAACCTAACTGAATGCTTGTAAAGACAAGAAGCTGAATTATAAGATCCCACCTGTTCACAGAAGTCACACATGTTGACCATGATCTGCAGCTCGCGGCCACATGCCTCTGCCCTGCACAGGAAGTCCTCTAGGCTCAGTTTGAAGGTGCAGACAAAACCCCCGAAAGCTTCTGTCTCTGGGTGTGAAAGTCCGCTCCGCTGAAGCCTCTCTGCCTCTGATACCAACGCCATGGCGTGATGCCTGCGGTCCTGCAGGAGGAAGCACAGAAGGCTCCAGAGATCTCTTGTCTGAGCAGACAGAACGACTACGGGACAAACTCACGACTCACGTTAGCTTCAATTAGGAATCCATTGAAGCTGTTGAGGACCTGCTCCATTCTGTCTCCAGAGCTCTTTACTGATGCAGCCTCCTGCAGGTGGCGCTCCCCCTCTGCATCGAACCACTGCTGGATCTGCTCAAAAAGTAATGTGGAAGAAAAAGCAATTGTTTTTTTTTTGTTGTTGTTGTTGTATTTTATGTAGTTTATGACTGTTTACTTTCTTTTTTCCCTTTTTTCTCTAAATAATGAACCTGGTAGAAGAGTCCCTCCATTTCTCGGAGCTGCAGCAGGTACTCCAGGTGTTCCAGGGACATGTTTGTCCTCTGCACAAGGACATGTCCCTGCTCCTCCACGTGGTTATACAGACTGGACACGGAATCCACTGCATCAC